TATTAGAATAATTAATAAAAGCAACAACTGGCCCTCTTTTTAGACCGAAGAAAAGCGCATACATTGATGCACTTAGTAGTCTCCCAAATGTTAATTTTTTCCTACCTACCTCACTGTACAGGCAAGAACCAAAACTTCAGAGCATACTTTGCATCCCAATACACAGCTAAGAAAATGGGGAATCTCCAGGCAGAAGGCTCCATGGCTATTAGCTGACTAAACAATCTGCTTGGCCCTGCCGGCATGGCTCAGTGGTTGAGCATAGACCTATGAACCAAGAGGTCACGATTTGATTCCCAGTCAGGGCACATGCAGGAGGCACCCGAAGAATTCTTCTCATCATTTATGCTTCTATCTCTTCCTCTCCCTTCCTCACTGAAATCACTACAAACATATTTTTTAAAAAAAATTAAGAATCTGCCGAGGCCGGTTTGGCTCAGTGGATAGAGCGTTGGCTTGCGGACTGGGGGGTCCCAGGTTCGATTCCGGTCAAGGGCATGTACCTGGGTTGTGGGCACATCCCCAGTGGGAGATGTGCAGGAGGCAGCTGATCGATGTTTCTCTCTCATCGATGTTTCTGGCTCTCTGTCTCTCGCCCTTCCTCTCGTGGAAGATCAATAAAATATATTTAAAAAAAAAAATTAAGAATCTACTTGGCTGTAACAACCATAGTCTATGGATTACCCATACTACTACTGAAATCAAGATAAGTACTAAATTTCAGAAATATACAATTCTTTACTTATTACTTAAAAGAAAATTTGCCAGCCCAGCTAACTTTTTAACATGGAAGTAGAAGTATAGGCTTTTTAGATCCATTTATAAGCAAAATCACTAGTAAAATTAAATGAACCTCAACTTTCTCCTATATTAATGAAAGTTATAAAGGCTAAATAAAGTATGTGGTACAATGCCGGATACATAACAGGCACTCAATAGGAAGCTCTTATTTATACCTAAAGGTTTAACTCGATGGCCAATTCGAAAAGGACACAAACTGTTTTTAAAGCAACTGATAACTACGGTCATGGTCTTGGTAGTCTATTAAGGGTATCTCGTAGATCATCAGCTAACCCTGAAAGTGCCTGTGAAAGTACTCAATCACCTTGGCTGGTGTGACTGGTGGAGGGTTTTGTCCTGTTTGTAAAAACCACACCACCTGTGAAGCGCAATGAAGGAGGAATACCTGGGAGGATGTCTTACACACAGATGCACTCAATAAATATTGTTGAATGAAAAGTTGATATTTCCCTTAATGGCTTTTTAAAAAAATACTTTAAGATTATCCTTTGAGCCGAAACCGGTTTGGCTCAGTGGATAGAGCGTCGGCCTGCGGACTGAGGGGTCCCGGGTTCGATTCCGGTCAAGGGCATGTACCTGGGTTGCGGGCACATCCCCAGTGGGGGGTGTGCAGGAGGCGACTGATCGATGGTTCTCTTTCATCGATGTTTCTGACTCTCTATCTCTCTTCCTCTCTGTAAAAAATCAATAAAATATATTTTAAAAAAAAATTGTTGGGGAAGGGGTTAAGATTCAGAATGGATAG